CCTTTCCTTCCCAAGTAAACTCATGTTATTAACTGTGGTATATGGCACACATTGAACTGCATTTGGAATTACCCAATAAGCTGTTTTCTTTTGTGTCACAGTCAGCCGTTGATTCATGACAACTTGAGTTATATACCACCATGCACTCAATAGCCCACAAAAGAGAGGCTATATGTGAGCAGATATCTCCAAGACCTGCCATGCAGTCACAACGACCTGCTACAATCTTTCTATCCTTCTCTGCAATTATCCATGGGATCAATAATTCATCGGCATAGAATGGTTTACCCATAGAGCATTAGCATAACTTGACTGCTACTGAATTGACTTACCTTAGCAATCAGTGACAATTCTAAATTTGTCATTTGGAGCTGTAACAAGAATTTCCCTCACCTATCCAGCCCAAAAAAAATTTGGGCTGGATGCATACCATCTGTTATTATTATTATTATGCATGCATGCACACCATCTATATTATTATTATTATTCAAGCTTTACAACACACTAATCAAGAGAAGAAAACAATGAAAATCATGCATATAGAGATTTGTGCAGTATTGAGGGTCTAGCACCAACTTGTGGAGTAGCCTTAATACTAAAATTATCCTCCAAAAGCATAAAAAGCATTTTAGCATAGTCATTTTGAGCCTAATGAGGTCAACCAATCACTTCTCAATGTTTCATAAGGATCCAATCCATTAATACTAGAGATTTTTTCTTGGTACTGCTCCCTGGCATCATGATTTTCCAGAGAGGAAAAGTATCCTGGCGAAAAGCTATGTTTCTTGCAGTCATTGCATGCAACACATGTACACCAACATGGCCGACATGAAACGCCTACACACATTGACCACGCCTACTGCAGGGGGTCTATAGATAGGGACACGCACATTATTCGGGAATTTCTTTTGGAATAATGGGTGTGAAATTTAGAGAAAGAATAATGGGTTAAAATTTGCCTGCCTGGATCATGTAATCAATATTTAACCCTTTCAATACTGCATGAGCATGTGTCAGACTGTCAGCAAACAGTACAATACAATTTAACAGCACTTTACAGTAGCAGCAATGAGAAACTCCACTGGAAATAATACTGAACAGATTTCAGGACACTCAAAGTAATTCACTTGAGGATTACATTGAGTCATCAGTAGTGTTACAATATAACCATGAATGATGATATTAATAATCAAAACTATGAATTTTTGGTATTATCAGAGCATAATAATGGGAATAATGGGCCAAAAAGGAGAGAATAATGGGATTGAGGAAGAGAATTGAAGAATAGAATTATAGGGTTGAAAAAAAGAATAATGTGCATGTCCCTATCTATAGACCTCTCGAAGTGAGAATGAATTACGTCACAAGAGTAAATACAGCAGTGGGTGTGGTAGAGAAGGAAATAAATTCCATGGATGGCAACTTTCTATGGTGAACCAATGAGCAAAAGCAGAAAGCAAGCTATAGTGAAGAATCTACTGCATAGTGCATACTGCACCAAATCTGTTTTATGAGGTGCTTGGTAGCACCTATTCTTTCTTCCATCCAACTTTTATAGCTTGAAAGAGCTCTAGACCTGCTAGACAAATCATTTTTATAGTTTACTCCATTCCTTCTTCATTGAATCTTGCCATCCAAAATGGCAGCCAATTATTACGCATATATTGGTGGATACCGTATCTCAAAATAATGATAATCATGAACTTATTCATTCACAGCTCGAGAGGTCTATATTGATCCTCCTGATGGTAGCACTGATTCATTTGATGTTGATGAAAGATGGTGGGACCAGGTCGAACTGACTAGACTGGATCTATCATCTAACGAAATCAAAGAAATATCTGAAGGTATTGAAAACTTTAATTCATTGTCAGCGCTTGAGGTGAGAATAAAAAGTATAAGATTTTTAATATCATTATAATACATGTTTACTGTACATGTATGTATCAATTAAATTGTAATAGTATGGTATACTGCATGCTTTGAGACAACTCCCTTGAATGTTGTAGATTTGTTTATAGAAATTAGTTTGTTGTTTATTTTTGTATAAAGACTCATAATTATGTTTACATGTTGTGTGTTATTGTTATTATAGGTCCAGTACAATGAGCTAACATGTCTACCTAATAATGTGATCAAACTGGATAAACTATCTAAAATATTTGCAAGGTAATCCACTCTCTACCATACGTATACATGTATATCTCTCTCCATGCATGCATGCACTTATCTGTTGGGTATTAAATTTTATAAATTGACAAAAGATGTTTAAGTTTTACTTTTTGGCTCTTCAGGACATCAGAGAGAGAGAGAGAGAGGGAGGGATCTCAGCTTTTATTTTATGTACTCCTCCTATTAACTGTACTGCATGGACAGTATTACCTCAATTTGTCTTCATAACATTGTGCATTAATTGATACATGTACATGTACATGTGTATTTATAGTCATTTTCAGTTAACAATACCTGTACATGTACTGCATGATTTTTGTTTTTCTTGCTTTTAGCTGCTTCATTGTAGTTAACTTATTAATTTGCTAACTTGATTCATACACTTTACTAATCATGGAAACTGTACCTAATCAGTGGCACACGCAATTTGAAAGAAAAGTGATAGAAAAACTGGAAAAGTTTTCCTATCACCATGTACATATTTATTTTTCTTTCCATTTTCTCTTTTTATTACTTGTTTCTTTTCTTTTTCCTTTTCTTTCTATTTTTCTTCCCTCCTTTTCCCGTCTCTGCCTCTTTCTATTCCTTTCCTTTTTCCTTTCTCTATGTATATCTCACCCTCCCTCTCTTTCTATTATAGTCTCTCCTATATGTTAGGAAGGTTTGAGTTTCTTCATTATCTTCTCTTTGATGTCCTCCTCTTAATTAAATTAATGAGACCTGACATCCTCTGGAAAGGAACAGTATTGGTCCTCTAGTATCTCTTGTATTGAAGAACCAGGAGACCACATGTGACGGCCAACCTCTCCCTTGTCTCTCAAGATCCCCTCGTCGCCATACAAGTGAGAGATCATGTGACTTTTGATGATAGTCATGTGATGTTGTGTAGGTAAGGATGAGGAGTGGGTGGAGTGAGGGGAGGTGTGGTGAGAAAGGAACCCTTGTGAAAAATCCCAGCAAGATTCTTGTTAAGTTTCTTTAAAATTCTTAACAAGATTCTTGCTAATATTTCACAAGATTTTACCTGATTTTGAAACAAAGATTATGTAAGATAGTGTTAGATCTTGCTATCAAAATGTAAGCGAAATCTTACAGGATCTTTCTCAAGATCTTACCAAATTCTTAGAAGATCACAGCAAGATCTTACCTTAAGATCACAACAAGATCTTACCTGATTTTGAAACAAAGAACATGAAAGATATCATGGGATCTTGCTTTATCAAGATTTTAAAATATTAGCTGAGTTCTTACATGAAGTTTCAGCTTATGAAAAATAGATGTAACAGTAAGATCTGAGCAAGATCTTACATTACATTAATGAATTACTTAATGATGTGAAGGTTAATGTGAACTTCATTAACTTTTTGACTTAATTATGTTGAAATTTTACTTTCTTTATATACTGCCATTATTGTAAAGGCTATCGTGGGTTGTCTACCACTTCCTGTGACGTCATGCAATTTGTAAGATCTTTCAAGATCTTTTTTGACTTAATGAGTGATCTTATGTGTCGTGTGATCATGGATGATTCTTCAAGATCATAAACTTACTAGATT